GTCTTTCGCTTTTTCTGTATTTGCGTCACTCAATGCAAAAAATTATGTAAATGTGTTTAATATTTGATAGTGTCAGCTCAGATTGAAAATATTTTCTATAGAAAACGAAACATTTATCATATAACATTTGTGCTGTCATTTAGCATCAGATTTATTTAGAAGAATAACTATTTATTGTATACCATCATTACATAAATATTAAATTAGTGAAGAGACTGTTTCTGCTCAATTCACAGTCTTTTTTGAGTAAGCATAATAATGTCTCATGTAAAGAAAGACGAAGTTCACCTTTTATTTTTGAATGTAATTATAAAATGTCTAATATAGAACTGATGATGAAAATGCAATACTTATCATTAATATGCTAAGCTCTTTTTCATTTACTTTTGTTATGATTATTTGTTTTTTTGTAAATATATCTGCAGAAACAAATTCATAGTATTTTGCAAACATTCTTTTATTCTTTTTATATGAATTGAAAAAGATTGAATCACCGACAGGAAAGGTGACATGAAAAAAATAAAGCATTTTTACACAGTCATCGAAAACATAATTAATATTTTTCCAATCAAAATATTTTCTATTTATATAATGAAACTATACTTTGCTGATTTATCTAAAATAAGGAGCTACTCCCACCTCCTCCCAAAAAAAACAAAAGTCAGTTTTGGTCAAATTTATCAGTTTCTTTTTGCAATTTATTACTCATTACATAGAGCAAAGTGTCTACTCTAGAATGCAATATAGTTTATCAAATAAGTTTTTCTGAATCTGCACACGAAAAAAATAATTTTTTTTACTAAAAACTTCGATTCTTAGAGTCTTTCAAGCTTCTCTGTTAACTTTTGGCAGTAATGAACATGGGTATTATGCATTGTTAAAAATAATAAGTGAATACAACGCTTGAACATGGATAGAAGGGCATGAAACTACTAGATATGGATTCATAATTAAATTTATGTTGGCAGAGAATATAACTAAAAATTTTTCACTATTATTTTAATTATGTAAAATAGACTTTAAGTAACTGTTTACTCTATTTGTTTTTAATACACTTTTATTTATCATATTGTCAATCATAACGAGTACAATTATATTTTGAAGTGTTTTTGGATAACTTAAAAATATTTCTTCTACATAATGTATAGATTGTCAATTAAAATGAGTTCAGAGGATTTTGATATCTAACGACAGATTAAAATGCCCCTATGTAACCAGAAAAAGTTCTCTTGTATGTATGAATATGCATTCCTCTGATTCGTTCTAATCGATGATTCATGACAAATTGCTCGAAAATTCTTTTTATATCAGTTTAGAGAGCAGAAAATCTTGAATTCGATTATTGAGCTTTATTTTGCGTTTTTCTGACAATAAATTTTTTTTCATTTTGATGTTTTCATGCGTTCTGATTTTTCGAATTTCCTTTCATGTGTGCAAACAGCTAACTGTTGTGGATCTACACGCCTTCCAGAAACATAAATTGAAAAAAAAATCGAAAAAAACAGGCCCTGTTAAGTTGTAGCAACTGATGCGGATGTAGGAGTGCTATATATGATGTTGGGTTTCTATATGTTGGGTACGGTGTGGAATGTAGATATGATGCTGTGATTGTGAGTGTGTAGGTATGAGCATGGGAGTGTGATCGGTTGAATAAATGAACAGAAGCACCATAGTGCTTGCATACCAACAGCGACACTCAGACCCACAATCATACATATATGTGATATTAATATCGAACAGGTGTGCAAAGTAATATATTATTCAGAAAGAGCTGAATACTTAGTCGAATGTTCAGCAAGCGTTACATGTGTTTAGGGTCGGATGTTAGACTGTTTATTAACATTGAAAAAGAAAGACTTTAATTAAAAGGTTCTAGTGTAATTTCTTGACGGTATAATATCTAAAAGTGTCTTCAAATTTGTTTCTTAAAATTTAAAATAGTTTTTATATCTAATGGACATGCAAAATAAACTAATAATATTATATCTATAATCTTGTCTACCATGTTATTTCTTAGCAGACTTTGAAAAGTACATGATGGATGTGATCAATTATGGAAAACTTGAAATACATATTTTTTCTTCATACTGTTCCAATTTTGAGCATCTTCATAGCCATCGGGTTTCAAGCACTCGAAAACTATCCTATCTGGTACTCATGTTCGATTCATCGAAGATTCAAGTACTCGACGAGAGCAAATCTATCGAAAGTATAGTACCGACTCTTCGGGCATATTTCAACTACTCGAAATTTATCGAAACTCTAACTGCTGAAGAAAAAGAGGCATGATGGAAAAATACCCTCGAGTGTTTCAGTGGAAGCAAACCTAGCAAAGTAATAGTTGCAACTGCTGAGTGTAATTTTTATCACATAAGTCTGCTCGAAAATACGATTTTGAAATATCTTTAACTTTTCTTTCAACGACTCTGGTAGAATTACTTATATTCGAAATATATTTCATCTTGATTTCATAATTTTTCTAAGAAATATTTAACATCAACTGATGAAGACTAATGTCGAAATTTGTCAGCCTTCTTGACGAAGACACAGTTATAACAAATAGTTTGCGTTTGGAACTTTTGAAAAAATTTTGAAATATTGCTATTATTCTTTATCAGACAAATCAATTGATTGTCTATGGGTGTGAGTGTGACCTAGAGATTCAGCATGGATGACCTGCAATCAGACTCTTCATTATTGATTATTTTTCAGTGATTCATGGCTAGAGCTAGAGTATGACATAGTATCAGACGTTCTGTTAAAACTTGAATGGCTAAAAAAACTATCTAACGAGTCTTTTATAGCTTCCTATATTTCATAAACTGTTATATGAAAGAATATGTAATATTCTTGTATATGAATGTATGTGATATAAGCCATATGATACATAAGTGTTAAATAGTTAGTTGAAAGGATATTTTATATCTTGAATAACTAAACCTGATTAGCGAAACTAGTATTTTTAAGAATACAAGGAAAATCTTGTTTCATGTTTACGCTAGAACAGAAATAGTGTTAAATTTCGAATTACTTCGTATTTATCATTCGCTCATACAGTGAACATATAGTACAGATAGACAAAAAATGTAAATATGCAACATATTTTCTTTTTTTTTCTCTTTAACATTCGGTCTTTTAAGTCTTCATATTTGAAGGCTCATAGCATGAAAATAAAAGAAATCATTATTCTTCGAGAAAACTAAATATAAATTAAAAGAAATAATAAATGATGTAAACGTCTTTATAAAATGTCTCACTTTGTTCGATCATATTGCCAACTCCTAAACCAATTAAATTTTCTTTATGTATGATAGAGTAATATTTGAACTACAAATTTTGTACGAGACATATTTTTCCAGAATGTGTCTTAGTAGGAAGCGACAAAAACCCAACACGTCTCCAAATTTCTTGCAACCTCACCATCGTGTAACATCATTTTTCTATTTTTCGTTAAATTTTTTTTATCAGAAGTGAAATGAAAAAATATGTTTAATCATAATTTTCATAGCGTAAAGAGTGGTCTTTTCACTGATAGACTGAAGTTAAATTAACTCTTGATTTTTATAACAAAATATAGTTATTTCTAAAGAAGAATGTCTAGTTTGGTCGCCTTTACTATGTATATAATACACAACCGGTTGCCTGGTTTCTGGAGATCGTGGCTGATGTCATTCCAAACTGATCGTTGTTGCAAAAGTCTATTTTACAAAAAATTTAAATTTACAAATTTGTTTTTTTTTTGAATAAAGAGTCATGAACAGATCTATAAACTGTTATCAAAGCTGGTACCGACTGAGCTTTTGATGTGGTACATTTTGGTGAATATTTTTATTAGAATTCAGTTCATATAGCTCAAAATAATTGAGAAATAGAAACTTTTCAAGTTACAAAAACTTTTTAAGAGTTAGGCGCTTGTTTTGGCTTTTCCTTCTTTTTAGATTCATTCCGAAAATATATGTCTCGTATAAAATTTGTAGTTCAGATATAACTCTTTCTAACAAAAAAGAGATATCATCAGTTTAGAAGTTGGCAATATGTTGTAAGAGAAATTTTGACATTTTTCCAACGACTTTTGCACCAAACATTATTTCAAACAATATGCAAGTTTACGTAAATATTCGATTGGATCTATTAATGGTCAAATAATTAATATATTTGATGGAAATTGTTTATAATTCTGTATAATTTCACACATGCTTACTTTTGCGTGATGTAACTGTTGATATCCTATCTATATTATATTGAACATTATATGTAACAAAAACATCCATTTCATAACTATTAAGTATTTGTACAAGAAGAAGGAAAAGATAAGCGTTCAAAAGTTTTCGTTTTACTTTTTTTTTCCTCTTATTACTCGTTTCTTGTCGAGCGAAAAACTATATATTAATCAACAAAAAATTTATATACGTTATCAGATATTTGAAAATATATATTTATTTGGTGTCATAGGATTGTTTTTTATTATTACTAATAATATTATCACCATTCATTTTATTCTGTCAATCAATGTCACGTATAGACAATTGTCATCAAAACAAATTCAATGAATTAGTTTTCATGTGAAACAGATTTTAGTTTAAGATTAAGATGAACGATTAATTTAGATCTATAAAAATATTCATATTATAAAATGATGATAACAAAATATTTTAATATTTTAAACCGATCAGTTTTTATACGTTTGTTCTCTCAAGATGAATATCTAACGAAATTTTTCTAGTTGATTAACGTGAGATTTTAAGTAGTGATGCTTTATATTATAAAGAAAAACAAAATAAAATAATTTTCTGTTGATATTTTTTATTATCGATTCTGAATATTCATTATCTATTATTTTCATCATCATCAAGCATTCAATTTGAAATAATTGTATTTTAAAATAAAATTTTTGATATGATGTGCAATAATAATTTAAATTTCATAAGATTGTGGAATGAGTCATTTTATTTTAAATAGTTATTGTTTTCAAAGTTAGAATCTATTAATAAAAGTTAAGTCTATTTAGCTTTAACTGCTGTTTGATATCGATGACGGCGATATTTTTGATATTTTGCCTTAATAGCATCAATATCTTGACCATTACCAAGTACGAAATTTCGATAAATATATAAGACAATATCATTATTGGATACAGAAGCCAGGCGAGGATCGGCACGCATTATTTTATAAAGCTCATAAAGTTGTTGATTGCTAATTGCTGATTTGTTTTCATTGACATCATTTGATGTTTCAAGCGATGGATTAGCTTGAACAATAACGGCGATATATAGAACAAAACCAATAATGCTGATATTAAGCAAGGCAACCATGATGTATATAAGAATTAATTAATACAGATTAGTTTATCTTAAAAATAACCATAAAAAAAAATATTAATTTTGAAAAAATAGATTCTAAATAGTAATAACAACGTATGATCGAAAAGATTTTAGATAAAATATTTGCTCACTGTTGAATCTTTAGTGAGCTATGTATGAAGAGTTAAAAATTATACGTTTGAACCAAGATTTGATGCTATTTTCGAATAGAAAGTTAGAAAATTTGTCTAAGTATTTGTTTCAGAGTCATGAAATAGCCTTGGGAAATCTAAAAAATTAGTTTACACAGAGTATGTAGGTAAATGTTTCAGAATGAACATGCTTATTCATTTTGGCTTGCTTGAAAACATTTCAGACAAACTAAAAACTAGAGGTGACGACTAGAATTTGAATATGAGCTTAAAAATGTTGTGCCTATTATTTATTGTTCAAAGGTAGTGAAGAGAATTTTGAAAGACTCTAAAAATTATTTCTAATGGAAAGGCAACAGATTTTTGTTTACCCTATAAATTCCTCTTTCGAATATTCTAAAAATTGTCAAAGTCGGTAACTTTTAGGGTGAACACATCTCTATAGAATATGATATTGAATTTTCAAAAACGTTTATTCAATGAAAAATAAAAATTGAGATATCTCGTTGAAAGACAAAAAATAGAATGTCAAATAGTGTATTCTATAGATTAACTTCTGATCTACAAGCTGACACATAACTAGAGAGCCTAACTTTTAGTCTCGTATTGTATCAGTGAAAATACAAAAATTATTCATTCTAACTAATTGTTAGAGCTTTTCAAAAGATTTTATTTCACTACTCTTAACCGAAAATTGAGACAAAACTTCTTAATCTACATTCAAAAAGAGCACAACATTTGGTTTTTTATTCATAGTTATTATTGATTCGTCGGGAATATTTTCTAGTGACTCAAAAGTGAACATACATGTTGTCTATAAGCTTTTCTATCACTTATTATACATTAGATAATCTTATTATACAGTTTTAGCATATTAACTATTAAAATAATAATGTTATTGTTTTATCAAAATGACTCTTTTTTCATCATTATGTATTCAAATCAAACAAAATCTAATATATCTTACTAGGTGAGTACTCAAAGAATGACTGACCTTAATCTATATGTATCAAGAGAAGTAGTTATTAGAAAATGAAAATGTATTTCTATAAAACAACATACTATCTGAGATTTTATGAACACTCGATTTGCATTATATATGTGTAAAAAGAATCGAAAAAAAGAAAAGAAATCTTCGGATTTATTAAAATGACATAAAGAGCTTTTTAGATTTTATTAATATATCTACTTAATAGTTAATAAAAAAAAAAAGACAATCATGTATTATCTAAGTAAAAAACATATCTATAAAAAATAGACTATGCTTGCTCATCATCGCGTGATTTTGATAAGATTTCTTTTTTTTTTTTCTTGTTTCTTTTTATTTTTTTACACTTGTCAATCGAAACTAAGTATAAGACACTTCAAACTTCTATATCTGTAATACACTCAATACGAAAGAACATGCAAGCATGTTAGCATCCGTCTTCATATTTCCTTTTATAATTCTTTTTCTTTGTGTTGTTCTTCTCATCTTGTCTATCGATTTCCGAGCAAAATACTCATATTATATTAAAAAGAAGATATAGACTTTCGTATTTGTCGTCAACGCTCTTGTCATAATCAAATTCTATCTATACTAATAAAACTATCAAAAATAGTATAGGAAATGAACATGCAAACGAATGACAATAAAAATACTAAATATGCGCTTTTATTTTATTATCAAATAATTTTTAAGAATTATTCTGACAGAATCATTGCAATCAATGATATAAAGAAATGTGATGTGCCTAGACGATCACTTCCGCTTTTATTCTTATCTTTTGTTAATGTCGTCAGTAAATAAGCGAGTTTGCTTTCTGATGCTCAAATTGATAATCCCATACTTGACAAAACACAATAATCAATGAAAACATATTCGATTCTGTACTCTTACTTCTTATATATAACTATTTTTATTTAGAACAACATGGTTCATATGATAACATTTTTTTTTCTTATTACTCCTTGCCGATTTACACCTGATTTTGTATGACGCATATAGCACGATAGGTTAAAGACGTGTAATTTTTCGCTTACTCATAGACAAAACAAAGTGAGAAAAGTATAAGAGTCTGACGGCTAATGAATAACCAAGTTGGTTCATTTCGATTTCAATTCTTTTAATATCTTTGAATCTGAGATCTTTAGAACATGTAAGATTTCAATTCTTAATTTTAACTAGGGTTAAAATTGAAAATATTATCTACCTACCTACCTACCTATCACAGGTAATTGGTCGTTGTTGAAAAAGAAATAGTTATTATTATGAAGGAAAAAAATAGGTTTAATGCTATCGAAGAATAATATACTTTTTTGTATAGAGTTCTCTATTTCTAATGTAGTCATGGTTTTTATTTAAAAAAACAAATCATAATACTCTCAAAGAATTAGAAAAGTAAAGAAAAAAAACTCTTAATTAATTGCTTAGTAGATCTTTAGACGGTATAGAAAAGATTGTATAGTATGAGTATTTACTTTTGATAGAATATAAATATATATATATCGTAGACCCATCTAGGATTAACCTAATCCAATCTTGGATTCGCCTAGTTCAAATGAGGCCAATCCAAAATTGGTCTAGGCAAAACAAGGATTGAACTAAGCCAATTTAATATTGATCTGGTCTGAGATTGGCCTATGACATAAATATAGCCGTGTTCAATCAGTCTGATTCTAAAATGCTTATCTGCTTGTATAGCTTCAGCCACATATAAAAAAAATGTGATTTTTTTATTAGTTACAGTGCATATATAATGCTAATGATTTGCTATTGTTTGAGCTCTATGCCTCATTAAGACTGAGTGTTGTCAAGTGTTTCCTTATAATTACTTTGTTAAATGTATTTTGCATTTAATCTGTTAACATACATCAGTTCTTACTAAGAAAATTACAACAGCATGAATTTACAGTAAACAAGTCTTATTTTCAAATAGTTAAATTAGAAGAGTACAGACAACTTATACTATTTTGGGTGGTGCTTATAGAGAAGCTATTAAGAATATTTTTAAGATGACGAAGATTGCACAGATTTTTTCCGTTTTATGTAATCTGACCTTGAGTAAACATCCTGTTCATAAGTATCCATCATAATAAATTAGTTGTATTTCTTCATTAACTATTTGATAATAAAACTTTGTTGCTGATAAGTCATGCTGTTGGAATATTCTTAGTAAGAATTGGTGTATGTTTACAAAATTCATGCAAAATTCATGTTAAAAAATAGATATAAGGATATACTTGACAACTCTTGGTCTTGGTGAGACGTAGAGCTCAAACAATAATAGATCAATAGCATTATATAGAGTATCGTAAAATCATAGAACTCTGCATACATTCATAGAAGAATATTTATTTCATTGTGAGAAACTATTGTTATTGAGCTATTGATTACTTGTTTTGATAAACATTGTTGTCTACTATCGCTGGTGATTGTCGATTCTCTTTGCCAATTCTTCCATAGATGTTTATATGACAAAAATAAAAAAAACTTTTATTTTTATCCAGTTAACATCAATGGAAAAATAGACAAAGAGAATCGGTAATGACAGAAGACAAAAGACAATTATGCTCATTTAAACAGGTAATCATTAGTTCAATTATGCTAGTTTTTCACAATGAAATAAATACTATTTTACGAATGTATGCGATAGTCCTATAATTTAGCGGTACCCTATATATGCATTATAACTAGTAAAAAAATCACAATTTTCTGAGTTGTGACTGAAAATACACATGCAAATAAGTATTAGGATACTGAGACGGTTGAACACGTACATATATAAGAACTTATCATATTGAAACACATTTTGAAAAGTATCTATTAAGTATATAATTCGTTCTGTGTACATGTGACTATTTCTATATTTAAAATGAATACAATTTATCGTCGAACTGTTCATATCTAGTAAACATGAAACTTTTCGTGACTAATAATACGAGTTGCTAGCAAATATTTATTCTGTTGTTCTCAATGATTATCTTTAATTATATAAGGTCATTTTGTAGATTGCATGAAACTTTATATATATATATATTCCAATTGAAACGTTCATAATATGTTGTTGTCATTTTTTCTAGCTAAATGAGTTAATAGATATTTATTTTCATCATCATGCAAATACTATAATATTGTTATGAATATATTGCTAAGTTACATTATTATTTATTTATAGCTTTGCCAGAATAATATTTTTGATAATTAAATCTATTTGATATGCTAATCTTAACATCGTTTGCATATATAAATACAAAAATAAAATGATATCAACCTTGAACACTCATTCAATTATACATATTTTTCTCAACTTTCGAATCTTTACTATTTTTGTTTTTATCGTTTTCAATTATAATATCAAAAAAAACAGTTCTAAAAATCAATTTTGGGTTACAAATAACTAAATGATATGAAATTTTTCAGCTAGACACCATTATATTCTCTTGAGACATTTATCAGATAAGGATAAAATATAGTCAATTTGATAGTTCAAAAATTTTGTTTCAATTTTTACTTCATACAATTTAGTTTTTGTTTTATTTGAAAAAGTATGCTCGACAATAGTGCATGACAGAATCATTTTCTTTTTAATATTTATTTCTTCGTTGGAGTTTGACAGTGACAAATCCAGTACTGCAAAAAAAAATGTCATCTATTTTTTGAGATGTTTTTTGTCATACTTAACTTTTCACTCTTAGGATCCAATAAAAAGGTAAGCATCTATTAAAAAAAAAAGGACTCTGCTATGCCTTGCACTCTAACATACTCTTTCAGATAACAGAATAATAAAATATATTAAATAAAGGTTCGCAGAGAAGTTTCTATTATGAAATGGCTATTTTTGACTCTTGTTTTATGAATATCTAATGAAAACATTATGA